CACTCGGCTTAATCAATTGACTCCCTAAACTCATCAGCAGTCTCATAAAAAGCTGGCCAATCTTTATCTTGAGCCATGTCTGTCATTGAAAGGGAGCATGTACTGTGTAACGGTAAGAATTTCCCCTGAAGAAAATGGGTCATTAGTTTGGGTCCTGATGTCAGTCTCACCGGAGGTGTCATGGGAGAACAGGTATTGGTGGGGATGAAGATGAGCAGACTTCTGCCTGAGGAGAGGGACTAGGTCCAACGGAGGGGAAAGAGCACCATCAGCTGCTCAGGAGGCGGAGAGGGTTGCCTGGCATCAGGAAATGTAGGACCCCATGCTGAGGCTGGAGTGGGGGTCCTGCCAGGAAGCTGCCAGTTACAAGCAGGGTTCTGTGACATGCCTGTGTTGGGCTCCGTGGAGCTCTGGGTGGGGCAGCTTCAGCCACACAGACCTGAGCAGAGTTCCCAAGTCCATGGTTAGGGCACAGCTTCGGAACACCAGGATGTAAGTGATAGCTCAGCACTTCTTTCCCTTTCTATCGAACAGATGTAGCTGGAGAACAGAATTATAATTCAGAGACACATCCTTTACCCAGTATATTTGTTTTCCCAATTTGTACTGAGATCAGGCTGTGTAACAAAAGATCAGCCTTCTTTTTCTTTAAAAGTTCCTCCTTAAATATGCCCCAATTAGCCAAAAGGCATCAAAGTGTTGAACTCTCTAGAAATCCCTCTGGGGCTCCCGTGTTCAGCAGGAGCTTTACAAGATTGAGTGTTGTCAAAATGTGGACTCAGTCCTCTTGAAATCAAGAGCTTTTCATGCAACACACCCTCCATATCACTAAGAAAAATACCCTCCTTAGAATTAAAATAAACTAGACTACAATACTAGTGCAACGAAGTATAAGGACCAATGTCTTCACAGGTACACAAGCTAAATAAAGTCCTGAGACACTTGTGCAGATACAAGAGTAATACAGAGGGGATGGTAGTAAAACTCAAGCACATGCTCCAAACCAAGCCATGGAAACACTACCTTGAAAACGGAAAGGGTGCCCCCTGTCTGGAACTGGATGAACTCTGAGAAATCAAGCAGGCTTTGCTGTGGGCCTAAATACCATCACACAGGCAGTCTCTCCAAAGGAGGGGCAGGTCAGTTCACCATAATGCACAATTGCAAATTTAGAATTCAAAATTCAAAATTATGAAACCAAATAATCCTGTCTGGGCCCCGGGTGCAGAGGTGTCCATAAAGTCAGGAGTCCTTATAGGAAACAGAAGAGAAAGATGTCTTGTGAGACAAAGGAAAAGGAGGCAGAGGCACAGCCTTCTGTCAGGGAACACAGGACATGTTCAGACACAGGGGAAATGCACAGGACTTAGTAGAGTAAATCAGGCCTGAGGAGGTCTGAAAACTTAGACCCCGTCCCAGCACTCCTTCCTGCTTCCAGAAAAGTACCCTCCCCTCCGTGTGCACTTCTCCCTGGAAACAATAAAAGCGAGAGAGTTTCTTCTCTTTTCTAGTTCTGGGGTGAAAATCTCCCAGCCCCCATGTCATACATTACTGAATTAGTTTCTTTTTTTCTTTTTTTTATCCTCCGCTTTTTACCACTCTTTTTTTTATCACTCTCAAACAGTCAGCTGGGATCTGGGCCAGTTCCGCAGTATTCGGTGCCAGGAACAAAGTCCGCCTGCTGAGGCCTGAGAGGGAAGACCCGCTGGAGGGGGAGAGTGGAAGTGAGGTGGGAAGAGGACCCCGTGCACGAGTTTGGAGAGGGCGGAGAGAAAGGGAAATCTTACTCGGTGCTGAGGAAGGTTTTCAGTTAGCCGGGATAATGGGCAGAACTGGTCAGTAAAAGAGCAAAGATCTGTGCAGTTCTCACACATGTTGATAAAGCAAGCTGGAGCTTGGTTCAGCACAGGCAAGTTGAAAAAATGTTGCATAAATTATTAAATATAATCCATGGTTTCTTCAGGCAGGAACCTTAGATACTGAAAACTGGGATAAGGTGGGAG